TTATTAGCGTCATAGGCGCAAACTACGGGAGGGCGAGGGGGGGAGGCGATCGTCACCTCAATAAAAATGTTGAGGGGGCGAGAATATTGTTCCGCTCTCCTCCTCCCCAAAAAACATTAAAATCAATAATAAATGAATGAATAAAATGTGTAAACTAAAATCTATTAAGAAAAGTTGACTAACTAGCTAAGCTAGTGTTTAGTAGTAGGTATGTAACGGTATAATTGATATCTAAATATTGTTATTAATACTCAAATATAATAATATACAGAGTTTTCCGTAAGTAGAGGGAAATATTAAATATTAAATAAAAGGCTCTAGTAGACCTCTAGAGCTGTCAACAACTTCATATAAACAATAGTCCGATTTTCGGCAGAATAGTAGCTAATTTAAGTTTTGTGTTTTTTTAAGTGAGTCATGGTTTTTGATGATTAGGAAGCGTTAAATAAAACATAGTTTAATAAAATCAATTAAAAATTGATTCACTGTAAACTACACAAAATTTACTTCAAAATATAGTTAAGTTCGTCATTGTTAAACCATTTAAAAGACCACTTTTGAGAGGGTAAACTTTTTTTTGTATTATTGAAATTTACAACTGTATTGAATGATAAATACAACTATAGAAATATGGAACAAGTAACATGACACGTAGCGTGCAACATGAAGAAAAACTACTCATTGGTAGCACTCCAATTATATTTCTATATTAGAAGGTCCCAAGTCCATCTTCTTACCATACACCTCGGAGGGTTATCAGGAATAGAAGAGGAAGCAAGGCTGGAAACAAGAGGGTTCAGAAGTTTATTATGGAAGGATAGGTAACTGGATTGAGCCAAATCGGAAACATATGGTACATTAAGGTCGTTATGGATGATTTTATTTGTGACAAAGTAGGGATCATTGAAGATTTTATGAAGGATTTTGGATTGTAAGGATTGGATTGGAGAGGAATTCAGAAAATGATTTAGTAGAGTCCCAAAGCTCGATCCCGTAAGTCCAAATAGGCCTTATTATAGTAATATATATGAGTATTTTGTAAATAGTTGGACGTTGAGAGCGTTTGTCTATTAAATGCTGCAGTAGTCGAAAACGTCGTGTGGTTTCTAGTAACTTCAGTCTGGAATGGGGGTTGAAGTGAGTCGTTTGTCCAAGTGGAGTCCAAGGTATCGGATTTGTTCAACAGGAATAAGTGGGGTATTGTTAAAGGAAACTGTAGGGCAGGAAGTCCTACGTCGAAGTGTAAAGATAATTTATTGGAATTTATTTCAATCCTCCAGTTTTTCCACCATTGGAGAGCATAAACTAAGCTAAGTTTTGAAATACTTGCGATTTTTATTATTTACCCTTCAACTATACTACAGAGTATAACTTAAACCTTAAGTCCATATTAATTAAATTGAGAGTTTATTACGAAACAAGTTGAAATCCATCTCAAAGTGTTTTGAACACAAATTACTTCAATAAATAACTGCAAAGCTTTAATTTATTTTTATCCATTACCTGGGATGTATTATCATAAACATGGATTAATATCGTTATTTTTATTTGCATTTATTATAGTAAAATTGTCAAAAATAATGATTTTCGAGTATTTATCTTCTAAAGGGATTATAAAACTGAGTTTTTTAAATTAAGATTTCTGTTATAGAAATTGAATCATACAAATAAGTGGCTAATTAAACGTTTCCAATTCTAATATATTTGCGTGCAAAATAAAGAACCTCGCTGATTGCTTGAATTATTTGCACGAAATCGTAAATAATAAGCTTGGAAACATTTAATTGATCACTTATAAATAGGGATCAATTTCTGTAATACAGAGCTAAATACAATACACAGTTTTATTGCCATTTTAAATGATGAATATTTGAAAAGTCATTATTTTTAACATCTTTTTGTAATAAATAAAAAGTGTATTTACGAATTTATGTTTATGTGATACATCCCAGATAAAGAGAAAAGTAACTTAAAGTTTATTTTAATAATTTATTGTAGTAATTTTTGCTGAAAACCAGGAGTACTTTAAGATAACAGATTTTTTTTTTTTTTTTTTCTACGCCTAAGTAACGCCTGCTTCGTTAGCCATGCGTGCTCTTGCAGTCCAATACAATTTTGCTCTCCGAGCATAAAAGCTGTCCATTTCATTAAAGCAACATCTTATGTCCTGTAATACAGGGCATGTATCAAGATGTTCTCCTGTCATTATGTCTAAGAAACATAGAGGGCATGTCGGGCTATCTTTTACAGGTGCTTCTGTACAAGCTCGATATAATCCAGAATCAAGCCCTTAGACTCGTGACAGGAGGGAGCAGATCAACTCCAATATCTGCTCTAGAATTACAAACAGGCATAGTACCTCTTGAGACACACCGGGAGCAACTGGCCATTACGCTCTATGAAAGGCTAAAACGTCTTAAGATCAGCTACTGGAGTATCTATGAACCCGCACCTGAACGCCTTAAAACTCAAATTACTTTTACTAAGGCAGTGGAAGATTTGATACAAAGAAAAGGACTAGAATTAGCTGAAAGGGAGCCACTCCCGTTATTGACACAAGTTCCATTCACTAGCCAATTTGTTGTTCACTGTGATCTTCTTCAGAATGTTTCTAAGGATACAACAGCAATTTACGAACAAAAGGCTATAACCCTAGAAACCATCGGAAAACGATTCCCAGAGACAGAATGGCTCCATGTATATACTGATGGTTCTGCACTGGGACCACGCAAACATGCCGGAGCTGGGGTTTATTCAAAGGAGTTTCAACTTGCCCCGGTCGGAAAGGTAGCCACAAACTTTGAAGGGGAAGTGAAAGCCATTCTCTTAGGCCTTGAGATGTTAACTGAACGGAAAGACAAGAAAGTGGCTTTCTTTGTTGACTCACAGGCAGCCATTTTGTATCTCCAAAATGGATATAATATAAATCCAAATGTCCCTAAATGCTATCTATATTTGAACCGATTAAAGGAAAATGGGACAGAAGTCGCTTTCCAGTGGATACCAGGCCATTGCGGGCTCCACGGAAATGATGACGCTGATAAACTGGCCAGAATAGGTTCTGGAATGATCCAACCCGATATTCCTCTGACTATGGATTCAACAAAAAGCAGACCCTCCAAAGTTCACTGAAAGAGAAATATGTACAAACAATTGAAGGGAAACGATGGAGTGGATTGCTGGAAGAAAGTGGCAGGATTCCTAGAGACCTCCCTAGAGGGCAAGCCGTGGCATGCTTTAGAATGCTCACAGGCCATGATTTCCTTCAGATAACAGAATATCAAAACACCTCATTTTTTTACACAACTTGACGCGGAATTTCAACTTATTTCGTAATAGACCTGCAACTTGATTAATATGGACTTAAACCTTACTAAAAAAAGAAAGTTTATCTAAAAGTGGAGTGTCTTTATTATAGTTGAATATTAAATAATAAAAATCGCAAGTAATTCACGATTTTTTAAAAACAGTACTTAGCTTAGTTTATCCGCTTATAAGTTGTCTTTAAATGGTTTTAACAATGACAAACACAGCTTTATTTTGAAGTAAATTTTGTGGTTTACAGTGAATCAATTACTACTGTACTACACTAACTACTGTTAGTGAAAAAGGTGGTATGTACGTTTTCAATTTTATTCTATATTTGACATTTTGTAGTCTGTATCTGATATAAATAGTCTGCTACAATGGAAAATATTAGAGGGCATTAAAATATGAAATTATGCTAACAAATTATAAAGAAATTATACTATAAATCATGAAGAAATTATTAGTTTTTATGCTCTCCTGTAAAACACTCAATGTTTACATACGACCTGTTGCACTAACAGATTGATGTTCATGTGCAGTATGTCCTGCAATTTTTGTTTTAATCACGAATATCAAATATGCAATCTGCAAATGCGGAACTCTTTCGCATTTTAGTATTCGCTGATAAACAAAAATCGTGGATGTCAAACACGTATATTTTGAAGGATTACTTAATTTCCGGTGACCGCTTCTCTCAGAGATTTTATTCTCATACGAAAAAATTAAGATCTTGTTATAAAAATATTTTGTAGCTAATGAAAACGGTGAGGAAGCTATACTGACTGACCTTGCTAGGCAGACGTTTTATTATTTTGATGTACACACTAAGAAATCTTTATTACATAATTTATTTTTAGCTGAAATAGTTCTAGAAATTTAAAAAAATGTTATGAAGCCTTTACTCCTGTGTTTAATTTAAATAAATACGTTATATATTCAATTGTATTATATTTTTGGATGTTTTAAAGTATATATAACAAGTAAAATTTAAAAAAATCCTTACAATTGTACAAATATTTTTGGAATACTCAATATTATATTTGTTCATTGCACAATAATTATGTTGAATTAGTACACATAATAAAAACTCCCGCCATTTTTTTTTTTTTAGTCCATCGCTTCCCCCCTTCTCCACTCAAAATCGAAAGTCTGCGCCAATGATTATCGTAGTTTAGCTATTTAATAACCGTCTTGAAATGATTTTAACAAAAACAAATTCCAATAATATCTGAAGCAAATTGTATTTAGTTGACTATGCTGGAATTGGTAAATTACAATTTAAATTAAACAGTTTTTTTTTGTTGCTTTTAAATCAGGTAACTAACACACCTTTATTTAAAAAAATAAATAAATAAATAAAGGCATTCGTTAAATTTCCTTCTTTTCTGTGGAATTATACCATAGTCTGTGTAAACTTTTAGGTAGCTCCTGAGGTCAGCCTGCTATCACCTGTTTAAATATTTCCTATTATTTGGGGACATCCGGTATATAATTCCGTAAAGGTATCGTGAATAGTCATTTGAATAAAAAACTATTTATTTAAATAAAACATTAAAGTATAATTAAATGATTTAATAATAAAAAGGGAAGGTAATATAACAAAATCGGTTTAAGCCACGCCCTTGAAAGTGCAGGTTATATGGAGTAGGAGGGAACCTTGAGCTATCTGCTAGCTGTAGCCAGTAGGCGTGATGAAGTGGGTAAGTTTGGTTCTGTTGATAGCAGCCTCCTGCTCTGCTATCGAGCTGAAGACGAGGAAAGGAAGTCTCCAGGGTACTGAGGAATCTTCCAGGAATGGCAGGAAGTACTATGCCTTCAGGGGTGTACCCTATGCCCAGCCACCAGTTGGAAAGCTCAGGCTTAGGGTATGATTACTAAATACAATTTTTACCCTATGTAAACATCATTCATTTCCTTCTTTTGGCTATTTATATTTAAAAAAAAACAAATAGGGGAGGTTTAAATGAGGAATACAGATGTTTAAGGGTAGCATCCAATTTACATAGTTAATTGAGTAATTTATTTAAAAGTGATGTAAATCATTTTCATAATGCATATTAATTTATTAATTAATACAATAACTTCGTGCTTTAAGTTGTTGGTTAAGCTTATGATTGGCTATTTTTAACACAGAGAAAGTAGGCTGTTATTCCTTACCAAGAAACATCCGTTATTTTATTATATTTTTCTTTTTACAGATTGCCCTAAAGTGTTGAATAACTCAAAGCTTCAGTTTTTCACATACACAATTTTTGCATTAAAAGGTTTATCTTCTTGGATTTATAATATTTTTAACTGGTATAATATGCTTTGATAACTAACAGTTTCTATGATATAAATTTTCTAAATGATTATAAAAAAAATTATTAATCATAATAATCTCCTTTGCTACAAAATAAATGTTGTTTTATTACAATTGTATATAAAGGGCAAGTTTCCACAAGCAAATCATCTAATAATTTTTTTTTTTTTTTTATTTCTTTATGACATTTACAACTGTATTACATAAATACATCAAGTAAATTTGGACATAATTGATATAATGACATGAATACACTTGCTGAGTAACTACCCAATGGTAGCACTCTATCTAATAATTACATTGGTAAATCTTAAACTGTGTGAATAAAATTAACTGAGATTTTTATTATTTCATCATTAATATATTAACTTTTATCTAAGTGTGCCTCCCTGAATCCAAGCACACAAAATAATGTGTATAAATATATATATATATATATATATATATATATATATAAAATGGATGTAAAGAATGAATTTAAAATTTTAATTTTTTTAATGTTTAGAAAAAAAAAAATCTTGGTCATAGTATTCAGCATATATCTATTTGTATAGTAAGTTTTGTTTTTGAATTATTATTTTGAAGAACCAATGCATCATTAATTAATGTTTCTGTCAATAATGGAGGGTTTGAGATTTAGTTCTATGGTTGTATTTATTTATTTTTTAAAATTAAAGCTGTATGTTAAGCAATTTTTAAACTTTTGTGTCATCATTAGGGGATTTCATTGAATATATAAATACGGTATATTGATTGTTATTTTATTTTGAAATTTTAGTTGAATGGGAAATATGATGAAAGACTGTGAAGGGTGTGGGAAGATTTACCTAATATGAACACACATTGTTATGTTTCTGTTTAACAATTTGGGTTCTTCAATAGCTCAAACGAGAAATAAAGAAGAAGAAAAGATATAATGTCAGTAATACAGTAAATGCTTTGCAATGGAACTTTTGCCTTCCAACTTATTAATAAAATGCAAAACAGCATTATTAATGAGTCCAATATAAATTTTATGAGTACAATCAAAATGTCACCAGTTTTCAACATTGTTGCATAAAGAATTTATATCATTTTTTTTTTTTTTAATTATCCCCATTGGTACATGTTGTAATGGGATGTTGGATGTTGGGTCACGGTAATATTCTCTAGGAAGCAAGATGTTTAAAGAAACTTCCTTTACTTGATTGTCAGATTAACATAGGAACTTAAAGATATGAAGAAGAAAGAGAAATTACTCAGAGAAGCTTCCTTGAAAGTATCTTTCTTTAAACAAAGAAGTTGCAATGCGTGGAACATGCACTTTGAAGCAATCCATTCAATACATGATTAACCTATATGGCATGGCAAAAACACTGATAATGTACAGAATAGGAAAGATAGCTCAGAGATAGATGTACTGAATTTGGAAACAATAGTCCTTCTTAAGATTGTGAAAGAAAAGGAAGTTGATTAGGGCAATGATAAATGTTCTAGATGGTCTGTAAAGCTAATATTGATAGTGATTTTAAAATCACCTTATCTGCAAGAGTTTAATTAAGAGTCAGGAAATTTTGATTTTAGAAATATTGCAGAAATAATTGAAATAACGTTCATTGCTCACAGTTTTTTTAATTTTAAAGTTATGTACCGGCTGTTCCGCAAAGCCCAGAGACCCAGACAAAAAATAGTGATATATTGTTTCTGTTTGCGGTCTTTATTGAGTACAGAATGTTTTGTATGATGACGCTAGATGAGAAAACATTTCTAAGACTAATTAAGGCGGATAGAGAATATGTGCAGATGACCATTTTATGTTTACTGGGCTGTATAACATTTAATTTTTTATGAAGTTCAACCTATTCAGCAGTATAGTTATTACATAGTGGTTACGGAGAAAAAATATGTTTTCGTTCGTTACATATAACTGATGCTCCCACGCCTGCGGAGCTCTTCGAGCCGTCAGTGTAGATAAAGTCTGAATCATCTAGTCTGTCTTGAAGTTTGAGAAGTTCAATGAGAATATATATGGAATTGTGTTATTTTTAATAAGTGTTGTGAGAGAAAGAAGAATTTTTGGAGTGGGAAGTCCCCGAAGATAAATTCGCGAAATTCCAATTTCTTGAAAAGTAGGAAGTTCAATGTGTATGTTATTTAGTAAAGTTGAAACTCTGATTATAAAGGGTGTTCTATTTGGTAAGTCAGTTTGTTGTTGATTTGTGTATTGTATAATTGAAAATAAATCAGTCAGTTGATAGTTAGAAGCAGAACGCATCTTAACTACGCAAATGAGGTCAAGTTGTTGTCTCCTTATGCCGAGTGAAGGCTCTTTTACACGTTTAAACCAATATACACAACTTAAAAAAATAATAACTTTTTCACAATATATTTCTCGTTTCGATCCTCAATTTACTGAACTGGAATGACAGAAAAGGTTCATTTTACTTAAAATAACTAATCATAATTTACATTCGCCTGCGTTCAGCCGATTTTTGCGCACTGGCTCCAGGACTATTATCCAAGGCTTAAAATGATCAGGTCATAACCTCCATGCATGACTATTCACGCTATTTTAATGTTCTTAATGCATATTATGTTTTAAAGAAATCTGACGATAAACTTGGTTGACAGCTTTAAAATCACCGCATCGCAGATGCACGTCTGTGTTAAATTACTAGGAGATTGAAATATTTCTACTAACGTTTAATTTATAAAATCGAAGTTTGACGCCGCACGGAACGAGGATAAAAATAAAAAACTATAATATTCATGAAAACTCCATTTCTGATCCATTCATTTTCACCTTTACTAGACATTACAGTGATTAATGGCGTCGCAAGAAGAACTGAGTTCGTAGCGAAATCTGGAATGAGGGACCTTCGTCTCTTTGGGGCGAAATGGTCTTATAGAATAATAATGTTTGTATTTTTCATTTCACCAATCCTTACAGATCAAAATTACTCTGGCTCCAATTGTTCAACTACATTTACTCAAACTGTGAATTAACTGGATCCATTCATTATAGCCCAGTCAAATTAAAAAAAAAAAAAGGATCTAGCTAGCAAAACGTCGGGTAATTAAAATATCATTGTTTTATTGTTAGATGTGTAGTGAATATAAAAAACCCAAGTTTTTCACATTGAAAGACTAGTAGGTTGTTGACTAGTAGACTAGTTATTTGCACTAAATATCTCCTATTTAAAGCTAAAAAGCAAAAAATAATGAGATTTCAAAATGGGTAAAAGTTTTGAAAATTTCCAAAAACAAAACATGCAACATTTTTTTTTGTTTGGTTAATTATCAGTTTATCAAGATGACTTAGTTCAAATGTTTGAATTAATATTAAATAAATAAAAAAGGCTAAGAATATAGAATTTGTATAGGACGTCCCGTAAGTAGAGGTAAATATTTAAAAGGTTGATAGTAGACATCAGGACCAACAAAAAAGTTTATAAAACAACTGCTCAACTCCCAGCGGAAAAATAGTAAATGTAAGATTTGTATTTTTAAGCGTCACGTTTTATGTTGAACAAGAAGGGAGGAGGAAGGAAGGATAGCTTAAAAAATATTTTATTTAAGTAATTAACAATTGTTTTACAGTAAACTAGACAAAATTAACTTTAAAAGAAAGTAGAGTTTGCCATTGTTAAAACTATTTAAAGAGGACTATTGAGACAAAGACAGCTAAGTTCCGTTTAAAAAAAAAGCCATAAATTATTTGTGATTTCTTTTTTTTATCACTCTTCAACTGTATATTTACCTCACTATTAGACAAACCTTTAGTAAGCTTTACGTTCATATTAATTAGGTTCTTTGACTCAATGGTCTCGTCAACACTGCTCTATGCTGCAGAGATCTGGGGACCAAAATACCTGGAAGCTTTAGAGAGGGCGCAAGTTCGATTTATCAAGTCATTGCTCCATTGGCAAAGAAATACACCAAACTATGTGGCTCGCCTTGGAACTCGGAGATCTCCATTAAGCGTTGAAATCTTAAAAAAAGTGATCAATTATTGGACAAAGCTGAGTTTAATGAGTGATGAAAGACTGCCTAGATAATGCTTTAATAGGCTTAGAACTCTAAACGCATCCATTGGAAAACCTGATTAAATAGTTAATCAATCAGTAATTAATCATATAAACAGATATTAATGCATATTTATATTGCTATTTTTTATATTTCTGGAATATTAAAAAAAAAAATAATTGTTTTACTAGTTAGATGTATATGTATATATATATCGTTTACTAATCTGTTATTATATTAGTCATACTTAATGCTGTGGAAGTTGTTAATGTTATGTTTGAACACAGTACTAGAATCAAGATCTCAAATTGTAAATAATATCTTTATATTTATTTGTACAGGAATTTACTTTGACAAATAAAATAAACTATTCTGCGTCCATATTAATCAAGTTGAGATTTATTAGGAAAAATTTTGGGATTCACTTCAAGTTGTGTAAAGAAATTACCTTGAAAAGCACCCTTGTTTTCAGTAAAAATGACTACAATTAACTGTTGCAAAGCTTTTATTTGTTGTTTTTCCGTGTTATGGGATGTATTTTAATAAACAAAATTGCTG